CAGATATTGCCCATCTTGTTGCAATCTTATGAGACTTGGCTGGTTTTGGTTTAATTTCTTGGAGCTCTTATTCCTGGCATGAGGGAGTTCACATGACTGTGTCACGTTAATCAATGTAGTGCTTTTTATTATGTGAAGAAAAGCTGGATGATGTAGTAGTTAAAATGTTGGGTGTAGGAAAAGAGTCAAAAGCACATTCTCACAATTCCTAAACTCACCATACAACAATGAGAATCACAGTACAGTTTTAATATAGGTTGTAAGGAGCTCATTGCCAGTATAATGGTAAGGGAAGGTTGGTTGCCAAATACGCTGTTGCCTCTTTTACAGTAGCCATAAGTCCATCTTTGTTGCCTCTTGAGGTGGTATGTAGAAGGAGATGGAATGCATCACAGCTCCTTGTCTGGTGGGAAAGCCATGGAGAGGGATCTTAAACACCAAGATTTCACCCCAGTCATCCAAAAAATGAGAAGCTGCAAGGCCCAGTCTTCACATTTGGATGGTCTGAGATTTCTGAGTTATGTTTTGTTCCTGCTGAACCTCCCCTCACAGGAGGYTTCCTTCCAACTGGAATCTGTCACTGCAAGAAATTGTTTCCAAAAAGCTGCRCAATTAGGGGTCGGCTTTGCAAACATTCTTGGTGGAATTGAGAGGCAATTGGCACAACCCAGTGAATAATCCCTTTAGGAGCCTTTATGAACCCGGCACAATGGCTGTTTACAGTCCTGCTTATGGACCAGGAGTGTTAACAGGCCTTTAGAAAAATCCAGGTAATTGAAGGTTTTGTCTTTCAATGAGCCCCCGTTGCTTTCAACAGTTGCCATTCTCCACATTTTCTTTAACTTTTTTTTTTTGTTTTGACAAGGGCTTTTGTCCCTCAACAACAGCAGCGTGGGAGGTGAGCCGGGCCGGGTGGTGGCCTCAGCCTTCGCAGTCCGCGCCATTGCCTCCTCCTCCTCCTCACCAGCCGGGATAAGTTGGCTTTTAAGACACAGAAAATCCTCTTGAGGCCAAACCGAAGTTTCTCCCCTGACTCTTTTATTCATTTCAACACCCCAGTGAGGCCATGTCCTGCTCAGTGCCTGTGCTGAGCTGGGAGGAGGAGGAGGAGGAGGAGGCCGGGGCAGGGTGGGCGAGCTGAGGCCGAAGCCATTCCCACAGGAGCCCAACACGCCTGCTGGAACCGAGGGGTTCCAACACCACAGTCTGGCTGAAGGGGTGTAAAATAAGGAAAAGAGAGGGGTCACCAGTGCTTCTGCTTTTCACAGCTCTGTCCCGGCCCGTTCGGTTTTGCTGTCGTTGGTTTTTCTGCGCTGTTGCTCATTCAGCAGCCTCTGGGTTCCTGTTTCACGATGCAAGCGTGGGAGCCTGTTGTTTTAACTTAAAATGAAGAAAACCTGYGGGAATTCTGAAGCTTGGAGCCCTTTCCACCAAAGCTGTCTGTATTTTCTTCAGGAGTCGGTGGGAGGTTAGCATAGGCTGGTAGCCATGAGTCTCGAGCTCTCTATTTACTTGTATGTTAAGCAGAAGTCCAAATTTTATAAACATCAGTGTGTTAATTCTGCCCTCACAATCTCTTRTCCTGTATGCCAGCTTGGGACTTCTCACATGGATTAAAATACAGTATTTTRGTGGTTTAAAGCCAGTTAGGAATCAATGCAAGGGACAATTTGTACATGTGAGTGATCCTCCATGGCTGGAGAGGGGGGAGAGGACTTGCTTTCACAAGRCAAACAAGAAATTAGGCAACTCACTGCCACAAATGCAGTTTTTAAACCGCACATCTTGCAGTCACAGCTGCACAGAAGGCTCTGTGCACGCACAGAGCCACATTCACATGTGRATCTGCATCCCCAGCCCTGCTGGCTTCTGCAGTTGCAAGACTGATGCAATCATGATTAAAGTAAGGAAGATGTAAGCTAAAATGAAACAAAATTCTTTGCTGTCTTTTCCATTTTAAAAGCAATTAATTATGAAGTCTTTACAGATCCTGAATGGGRAAAAATGTATCCTCGGAGAGCAGATGTTTGCTGCATTCGTATGTCTGTTTATAAAATTTAGCATGTGGATTTGATGGTTCACTGGCTTCTTGTAACTTTCACTTATCTACATGAGACAAAGCTGCATATTGGTACAAAGCAAAATTAGGCATCTAAATAAAGCAATTCTGCACCTYTTAGTAATGTAAACCATCTGTAATAGGGTTCTATATTCTTTATAGGTGTACAAATTTTGGAGGTCAAATCTGTTTTCAACAAGAAAAACCCTCTCCTTTTTTTTGATGTTACAATGCAGAAAGAAATAGGAAGACAAGTTTTGTAACAAAACCAGAGAAGACTGAAATACTACCTTTTATTCAAATAGTAATGGTTACTAAAGTTCAAAAAAATTGTTTATGTCTCAAATATTTTTAAGCTAAATTTGGTAATGTTTACAGTACTGAGGTTTTATTAAACCAGGACTCCTAGGCAAGAACATCTGAGTTTTAGTAATAATTTTGAATGTTTGCTAGTCAACAGATTTCTGAGTTTAATTTATTTGGTTATTGTATTACTGCAGCATATCATTCTTTAAGCTCCTTTTAGAATTAAAATTTGTGTTGATATTGCCTAAGCATACAATTTGAAGCAACCCATGGATGAAAGTGTTAACTTGTTTTTATGCCATTCCTGTGATAGGTGTGATTCTGTTGTAACATGCTTTAGTCTGAACCGTGCAGGTTGAATCACACRGTCAGAATATTCTRCCTCCAAAATACGAGTGTTCACATTGAATGAGCGTCGTGATTAAAATGGTAACTTAGGATATTTTTGCATAAACCATCTTTAAAGGGTGAAATAACAATGTCTTTGTGACCCACTCCATTATGCCGGTAATTTGGGGAATGCACAGTCCCTGTGGCATTAGGGCTTGATTTGAGCCCCCCTGGGTGGAAGTGAAAGGCTTCCCTCTGCTCAGCCAGTGTTTCTCAGGAGCATGTAAATAATAAGATGTGGACTGCTGTGACTGCAGCTTCCCCCAGCCCCCACCTCAATTTTGATGAATGCGTTGCTCTGTCAGCGTGAATTATGGCTGTCTTGAGCAAGCACAGATGCAGCAGGTACTGGGGCAGCCTTTGCCCAGCAAACCTGTTTCAGCGTGTCTCGGTGTGATGGACAATTAGTCCCATTCCAACCCCTCAGCAGAGATTTCTAATTGTTGGTGGTTGCGTGACACGGGTTTGGGGTAGTCAGCAGATGGCTGCCCATGATGATTTATCAGGACTGATTTTACTTTTGGTTTGTGAAAGAMACAGAAACTGTGTTTCGTGTAATAATTTTCGTAAAGGTCAGTGACAGAATAAAAGTCACCAAAAAAGGCACAAATGGCTTGTGGCAAGGTATTTACTAAAGACTATGGCTATGTGATGTTCTTTCTTACTGCAAAGTAAATGACTGGGACTTTGTGGAGTTTTCTGGTATTAGCACTGATTATTCCCATAGAACTTACCCATTCACAGCTCCTGGCCCGTGCAAAGCAGCATCCTGTCACTTCTTCCATTTTTCTTCAGGTTATTTTTCCCCAGAATGGTTACACGTACAATTAGATCTGTGCACATCCTACTAAACAGTTGAATTTCTCAGTGAAAGACATGTTGTGGATCATGCGGGATAGTGTAAAATGGTTTCATTTTTAAAGAAAAAGAGTTCTGCTTAGTCAAGACTATAGAAAAACAGATTCCTTAAACCAAACATTTTCACTGCAGTAAAATGGGAATAAGGTGAAAGTTGGGAAGCTGATTCTTCAATGCAGAATCACTGTGGGTGATTCCTCCAATATATTGGGGCACTTCATGTGCTTGGTGTGTTGCAGAAAATTTAAAAATAAAAGATTCCTCAAGTATTTAGGGTCAATCATTCCATGTGCCAAATACAAGAATAAGAAATTAAGTATTCTCTCATAAATCAGCAGAAAACTAAAAATGCAATGGCTGAAATTTCTGCTGTGTGGCTTTAGGATAAAAGAATGGGACAGGAAAGATCCCCCTTCCCCACTCTAGGAGGAAGACCTGGGCAAAATGGCCAAACAGATCTATTCCTTCCTTTACATTCATGACACTGAAGCATGTGCATTCTCAGGGCCATTTCCACACTTGGAKCTTGTCACTGCTGGCTTGCAGTGTCCCCTCTTGTAGACCCGGTGAACTCTGCAGGGTGCTGCCAGTCATGGAAACCCACCGGGCCATCCCCATCAGCAGTTGGCTGAAGGAGGAAATTCCCATTGGGCACCAAGGCTACAACACACACTGACCACTTCTGTCAGCATAACAGACACCAAGAGATTTACTTCTGTTCCCAGCTGTAAATCTGTCTGAGCTCCAGCCAGCARGATGTGCATGTCCTGAAATGTTCACTGCTCAAGTTATCTTTCCATCATTTGTGCTGTGAAAATAGAGCATTTCATTTTCAGAGCCTGAAAGAGATTACACTCCAAAACTCTTTAAGTAAACACTTCCTCCTGGGATCGTGATCTCATTCAAACTAAAAATTGTACCAGAATTTATGATGTATTTTAATTACTATTCTTGGTACCACTCATTAAATTAGAAATTGATTGCCAGTTTCACAGTTTCCTTGTTAGATGACAAAGTGCTTATCAAGGTGAAGCAATGCAAAACTGTTACTATATATTCCCCAATTTGGGATGATRAAAAGGCGTGCATTTTGTGGTGGTACTCATGTTATGGTGGTTGTTACAATGCATCACTGATTGTCTTTTTTGTTTAAAGTTTGCTTTCCCCCATCCAAGTAAGAGTACACCATAAATGTGTATAAGAGAGAATCTGGCTTTGTCTGGTTTATGCTAGCAATGTAAAAGGCATTACTGCAAACATCAGAAGTGTGTTTCATTGAACTGTGAACATCATAAACACCTATCCTAAAGATTTAAGAGGATGATGCAAAAGATCCCTATACATAAACGTGTTTCTCAAAATCTTTTTTTCTCTCTCTCATCCACAGTGTGACAGCGAGAGCGATATTGACGATAAGGTAAGACTGAATTTTCTTATTTCATATGCTTGGAAATTCCCTGATAGTCAAAATAAGAGTGAATTTGAAAGTAACATTTTCCTCCAGTCTTGGAGGAATGTCAAATTTAAAAATATCTACAGTTGAATGAAAAAACATCAGATCAGCGACTCTGTGATCTTCACCAGCTTCTGTTTACAGGAAAGAAATTCCTATTAACATAATAGTCTGTCTTGATTATTATGTGAGCATTTGGAGAGACCCRAGTTACAGTGTTAGTGCTGTTTTAGAGGAAGCTTTCTCAGATAACTTGTCAGGAGACCATATTTTATATATAGTAACCTTTGAAGATGTCAATTTTGTAATCAGTTTAGAAGAGGGGACCTGCCCTCCAAGGCAGTGTGGTAACTGTCAAGGAGTGTTTTGTCGTGTTGCATGCATATTTATCACAGAGCAATGATTTTTCTGACCTTCTTTTGAATACAGAGGTTGGTCATTGAAAGGTTGTAGTTGTGTGTTTGTGTATGGGGATTTCTTGTTCACCATTGCAAGGAAAACAGATGAGTCCCACTGTGTAGCATTGGTTGTACCTTGCTTTTAAGCATTAAATGCATAAAAGACATGAGTATTCCTCAGATCAGAGGAATTCTCTGATTCTGGCAGATCAAACTTGGCTGTCTCAGGTCAGATCTTCATCAAACCTTTATTAAATTTTGGCTGTCCAGTCTCTTGCATCCATTCAWGAAGAAGCTGTGGCACAGAGTTTTCTCCTGGATCAGCTTTACAGAAGTAAAGGCTGACTTTAGATAGCCCTGTGTCCTCAGCAGCACACCCGGCTGCAGCCGTGCGTCAGAGGTTACCATGAGCTCAAGAGACTACTCTAAAAGCTTCTGGTTAAGTCTTTCTCTTTTTATTAGTTTGTTAGAGYTTTAGAAACATTAGGGTTTCTTCAACTTCTTCTTTTAAAAATCCCATCAGATACTAAAAATCCTTGTAGTATGGCAAAAGYTGTGTTTTGAGATGAAGGCTTGATTGAAGAGAAACATTTAAATGTTGAATTTAAGTGTTGAATGAAAAAAACTGTACGTATTTTATTTTATATTATTTTGATTTTTTATGTGTATATATATATATAAAGTCACTCCCTGAAACCACCCCTCTTCCCAAGTTCTGTTTCTTACAAGGTTACACAGCAGCAGAGCTGACAGAAGGGGTGGTGAGGGTAAAATATTATTCCCTAAAAGCTTAGATACATGGGGTTAAAACGTTTCTTAGACTGCCCAATCAAAGGAAGTAAAAGCAATCACTTAGAAAACTGTTTAAAGATCTGCCAGTCAAACCTCAGATGAAGTTGTAAGTGACATGTAGTTTTATTATACAGCTATGCTATTAATGATTATCTAAATTACACTGGTAGACCCAGCTAGCGGCATTACATCTGAGACTGACGTTTGTTAGATTAGGTTTGACTTCACCTTGTAGAGAAGAAATTGAAATCTGAACAACATTGATTAGCTTTCAGAATGTGGGATCTGAGGTTACCTTCAGAGGAAGCTGCATTGTGTTTGGCTGGTAACTTGCTGTCCTTTACAGCAAATGAAAGGCTATTATAGTGTTCCTTACCATTAATATGACATTTCTTTACATTTATGTAACTGTAATTTGACCTTCTAGGCTCGCCTATTTCCCATCTACCTTCTCCTTAAGGTGACTCTGCCTTAATAATAACATTTCTTCATAAGGAGAGCAGCCCAAGATCATCATCTTTCYATCTCTTGCCTGATCTGTAGAGGCGTGAAACATGACACGGTTCTATTAAATAGGTCTCTGGAATTAAGTTGGGGYTGTTTTTCTTGTCAGCAAAGATGTGGGCACATGCATGTAAATTCACCAAGGTTGAAGTGAAGAGGCTTCAAACCTTTCATAGGGRTAATGTAAGTGCAACATTGCCTTCCACTTGGGGAACACAGGAGCAGCCTGACTCGCTCTGTTGATACCTGACATACTACACCCCCCAGAAACTCATTCAGTGTTTGTCTAAAAGTCAGCCTGACTGATGCAACAAAGAGCTATAAAAATATTGGTGCGACTGTCCTGAGGGAGTACAGTCATTTTCCTCCTTCCATGTGATGGCAAAATGTATCTCCTGATAATGTTCCCAGGCAATTGCAGCCAGATTGAGTGTTCAACACACTGCCTAGCCCAGCATCAGCCTTCCCAAATTGCTGGGTTGGCTTCACTCCCCACTGCTACAGAGCAGTTCTGTTCTCCTGCTTGGTCAGTAAGAACCTGCTTTTTCGAGGTACACCTACACATGCTGGCACTAAGGAAGGGCAGGGCAGGAATTACTAGTGTACTTTCGATTTGCATAACATTYTTTGTTAGTCATAAACAGCGGATCAGTGTTGTCTGCACAAAACTCACGAGGAAAGCAGACAAAAAAAGAAGTACATTTACAAGTACAAACTGAGTCAGCGACAGAGCTAGAAGCAAAACTGAAATTTTCCACCTCCTACTTCTCTCTACCATGCTAGTAATTATTCACTATTTTCGTTCATAGGTATATGGGCTATTGAGCTCCTAATGTTTTCAAACACAGACGTTAGAGTAAAATTAAGGTTTTACCCTTGCTGCATTGTAAAATATAAACACACTGCCGATGATTTGGGTTTTTTTTCCTTGTGCAGTGCGGTGCAAGGCTCCAGGGGAGAAAAGCAATTGAGCATAGTCACTCACACATACAGTGTATCAGAACGAYGAGCCATGACTTTAGTGCAAGGTACAGTTTCACAGCAGATTGTGAAAGTGTCTCCAAACATTGCGCTGCTGTTTTTAATAATCGGAGAAGGGGAGCTCAAGGCTGGGGACTTGTCAATCCCTTCTACTTTCTGAGAACTGTCTCTGGCCAAGTATAGCCTTTCACTTCTGCATCACTGCTGAAATCTCAGAGGAAGTAAGTGGGATGGTGCTTTCTCACACCTATCATTCTGTCACCACGCGCTTCTCACAGAGCTGTTCGAGATACCCAAACTAATAAAGTGAGCTGTCCAGCCATTTAACCAAGCGAGAAACTTAGCAAATCATGCRTTGCCAGAGATGGAAATGCAAATTCTGGTGCCTTTACTGTATGTTCAGTGAAGGACATTGGTTTGGACTCTGCAGCTGTGGGGAGGATTGCGGCGTTGTTTGCCGAAGCTGTGGAAATGATACTGTGCTTTTTGAGAGGGAGGAGGGAGAGCAAGGGAGTGAGTCTGATACTTGTGTTACCCTGTCTCTGCTCTGTGCAGTAGCTGTGATGTGAAGCTCACGGTCCATAAACATTGTTACTGAAAATATATACTTCCTTTAATAGCAACAACAGCATTAACAGATAGCAATTACCCTTCATTTTCAGGAACTATAAAGTCTCCATTAATTCAAGATTTATGTAGTTATAGCATTTAGCACAGGAATAACACCACAGAGAATTGGTTTATACACATGTAATGAGAGAGCTTATGGCATACTTTAGTGAACATTAACATAATAGAGTAATATAAACCATCAACAGTTCCACTTATTGTCTCTTACCTGCTTTAGCATCACTGTGAAAAGTGGCTAGCAGCTTGGTAATGTGCTCTGTTAAATGGTGTTCTGCAGAAAGCCAAAAGTCAACTTGTGTAAAACAAGGGAATGAGTAATCTCTGCTSATTACTCCAAAATGTTGCTCTCATTTTTTTAATAACAGTGTTCAAGATTGCATTAAAAAAAGCTCCTGTTTCTTTCTCTAAAAGTAATTCCGTGTTCATGTTCTTTCATTCTTGGCCTTCTGTCTGCTGTGTGCGAAATTGTGGGTTGTCAACTTAATTACATGGCCCCRCCATGTAAGCGAGCTCTCCAAATCAGGGGTTAGATATCAGCATTCTTCATTTAATGTGGTGCTAAGTAAGATGTACAAAATTGGACCTGTATTTCCAAGTTCAGTCAGTATTTACTGTGTATGTGCTCWGTAGTTTGTGTTTTAGCTATAGCAAAAAACCTCTGAGACAGGTAAAGTTRTATCTAATGTGGAGACAAAAAGTTTTGAAGGCAGTTTTTTAATGTGACTTTCTGCAGCAGCCCAGTGAGCTCCTTAGGCTGTGCTTGTGGCAATGTGAATCAGCCTTTCTGTGCTGTAATTTGCTAATTCCAGAGTCCCAGTAGGTGCCTGGAAGTCGGCAGCAGGGCAAGAGCAGGTGAATGGGAGGGGAGCAGCACAGTGGTGCTGTGATCCCTCCACCGGAGGCTTGATTTCCATCCTGCTACGTGTGTAAAAACAGAGATTAAGGATGAGATTAGAGAGAAGGGACACAGGTAAATKGGGGGACACTGTCAACAGCAGCACTGTTTCAGTGTTTCAGCAGCTTTGTTGTTGTCCAGCTTTGATTTCGTAGGTATTAATCTAAAGGGGGTATTTGTAGGTATTAAGGTTTTAGGAGCCATTTGAGAGGGAAAGGCAGGTACCTTTATGGCCATGAATGCAAAGTTATTCTCTGTAGCAAAAGACACAGTGGTAAGTAGTAAGGAGRTGGTTGTTTGAAAGTTTAACAAGGGGGTGATCAAATGGTACCAGAGAGAGGTGAAAGTTTACAGCAATGCTGAATGTCAGTGTTGGGAAGAAGAGGTAAGCTGTGAAAGAGTCAAAACACCAAGAGTGATAGTTTGCTATTCAAGAAGTGAGAAGCTGTGTAGGAAGCAAGCCACAGACTAGGAAAATGATCYTGCAACTTTTCCTTGGCACAAGGACACAGTTACACCTGCTGTCATGAAAGGAAAAATAAAATCGTAAACAAAGGGTGAGGTAGCTTGACCACAAATTTAGTTGTGTGGATGAGCAGAGGATGCTCATTATGTTTCAGAGAACGAGGATATACAGGACTTAAAACCTAGGTTGAATATTTGTCAGGAGTATTGTGAGTCAAAGACAGTGCTGAGAACTGTGGGCTTCWGTGAGAGATGGAGGTGATAAGAGTAGAAGCAATGAGAAGAATAAACTGTGTGGA